TGGTCCTCCTGAGGATAGATAAACTAGCTTATTGAACAATCACTATTGTGAAAAAGTAAAAACTAAAATCTGATTGGGAATTCATACCCCAAAGAATTCTTTGTGTTATAGTTTGGTTTTATAAAGTCACTTGAAATAGCTGCTTTCTTAATAACGTACAGGGTCCACGGACCTCTGGGCTGAGAGATGTTGGCAATTTATAGACAAAGGTACACGGTAAAGATGCTTGACTGCAAATCGCTTTCCACTACTTCTGTTCTGAGCTCACCATCTGTTTAGAGAAAAAAATTTATTTCTCAGCAGAAGCTGTTGCGGACGGCAGAGAATCTTGAAGATTTTTTTTAAATAGTCCTGAAGAGAATAGATGTGAGTGAAACAGTTTGATTGGAGACATTTTTTCTTTGATTCTCTCATATGGCGTCATAATATTCAGCAGTAGCCGGTTCATGAAAAGAAAATGTAAGAGTTCTGTTGATAAGTGTGTAGCAAAGTGCCCAGGAGTTAAAAAGGAATGGCGCAGAGAAGACCTGGTACTGAGGACAGAACACTTGGCCTTGCAAACTTTGTCATGATGTGCAGTTTTAATGCTTCAGATTGCCTTTCAAAATTAGTAAAAGATGAGCCTTATTATGCTGAGGTAATTATATGGAAAAATATTAGTCTTTTCTTGTTGATTCCATATAAATGGCTTAAAGGGAAAATAGTAATGTCTGATTTGGGGAAATGGTCTTGACTACCCCATTTGTATTCCCTAGGGGCTGGGGATTTAGTTCAGTGGTGCTGCCACCTGCCTTGCAATGCAAGGTCCCTAGTTGGATACCCGGTACTGAAAAAAAAAAAAAAAAAAAGAATTAAAATGACACTTCATGGATTTTCTGTAAAATGTATTCGTGCACAGTGGAGTTTTAAGGCAGTTCAATTTAATTATGATTAATCCTCTTTGATGCCTTCTCAGGAGTTCATTCTGTTTCACTGACACATCCCATTCTTTTTCAACTTCCCTAAAAGCAAGGAGAGCTAACAGTATTATTTCAAGCCTCTTGCTCAGAAAAACAGGGATTCAGCAGTGAGGAAGTACAGGTAGGACTGATATCCATTCAGTAGCATCAGGGCCGGACTACATTTAGCTTCTGTAGTCTTCAGCTTTGTCAGGCTGAGGACCACATTAGTGCTTCATTAACAACAGCAATATTGTTTCAGGGTAAGACTTATTGAGGACACATTCTGGGGCAAGTACTGTTCTAAACACTTCAAGATCAGCAAGTCCTTTGAAACTCACAACTGTGTGGAGTGGATAATACTAACGCTAATTAATAAAAGAAGGGCCGGGATTTGCCTCAGTGGTTTGGGCGCCTGCCTCACAAGCACAAAGGCCTAAGTTTGATCCCTGGCACCAAAAAAATAGAAGAAACTGAATTATAGAAAGGTTTTGACTTGCCTGAAGTTATACGAGAGACAAAAGTAGAATTGATGAAATTTTTATAAGGACTTATTTGCACAATGCTTAAATTATCACCCAAGGACTTTATTCAGTCATATTTTAGAGGTTTATTTCTGTGTACTTTGTATAGTTATATAACTGCTAGAAAATAATTTCCTAAATACAAATAATAGAAATTTTGCCATCACCTCCATTTTGTGTGGTTCAGAGCCTAGAAACTTCCAAGAACTATACCTTGAGGACTTCTGTCAAAGCCTCAAATAAAAATGTTTCATAATATTTCAGTCTTGAAGTGCTAACATGTAAAACTTTATCTTGGAGAAGCAAGGTAACTGAATAATTAAATATCAGATCCTTAGCTTTCAGAGAATCCCAAGAAGAAAAAGCATTTTATTTCATAGTTTCTCAAACTAAGCAGAAGATTCATTGATATAAAAAATACTAATACCTTTCATTTGAGATAGAAATTTAAATTATTCTAATATAATTCAAAGAAAAGTCTTTTGTTGTCCTATAAAAGCTGGGAAAAGGAATCCTGGGCCAAAAGGAAGTTCTTTTATTTTCATTCATAAAACTAGTAACAGAAATATGTCTAATATACACTTAATATAGAGAGGCTTGTGTGAGATAACTGACTCATTTTATTCCCATATTTTCTATAAAATGTTTTCAACTTTAACCCTCAAACATTCAAAGAAAACTTCAGTATTCTAATTCAAGTTAGTAAAAGGCTGAGCAACTTTAAAACTCCCATAAATGAAATACAGCAGGTTGTGAGTTAGCTAGAAAAGGATTGGGGAAAATAACCCTTGTGTTCTAGTGGTTGAGATGGGAAAGGCCTTCTTCCTTTTTCTCCAGTTCCTGATGCAGTCAGAACCAAGGCATCCTGCTCCTGCCCGCAACACCAAATAGAGAGGAACGTAATGAATAAGATGCCGTAGGGCATCAGAAAAGCCCAAAGGAGCCAGGCGTGGTGCTGCATACCTATAATCCCAGCACTCGGGAGGCTGAGGCAGGAGGATCACTGAGAGTTCGAGACCAGCCTGGGCTACTTAGTGAGTTCCAGGTCAGTCGCAACTACATAGTGAGACCCTCAAACAAACAAACAAACAAACAAAAACAGTCCAAAGGTAACTGGTGGGTAGAAAGTGTCAGTTGAAAACCAGTGACAGTCACCTTTCCTAATCCTCACTAGGAGCCCTTTGAATGTGGACTTAGCATGATCTATACAATTGGTATGGAGATGAGGAGCCCAACCTCCTGGAACTGAACTTTCTTGAACCACAAAATCATTCATTTTTTAGCTCCGTAGTAAAAAAAGGAAATAATTTGAAAAATATGTTTTTTTTAATCTTCCCCGTAATTGGACAATTCTTCTTCTTCTTTTTTTTTTGTACCAAGGATCAAACTTGGGACCTTGCACTTGCAAGGCAGGTGCGATGCTGCTGAACTAAATCCTCAGCCCTGGACAATTCATTTTGTAAAAACTGAGACCATTTTTCTATGTAGTTCGGGCAGGACTTCAACTCGTGATTGTCCTGCCTCCCACATGCTGGGATCACAAATGTGTGCCATTACACCTGGCTGACAATTCCTTTTGTTTTCAGAGACAAAAAGATTGTGCTTGCTCATTTTGTACAGCAGAGATTTTTCAAAAGTAAACATAATATGACATGGACATCCCGGTGAATTAGCACCCTCAGTTCAGTGAATTTCCAAAGTGGCCAAAGTTTAAGGAATGTGTTCATTTACCTCCATTCAACCAGTGTTAAGAGTCCATGTTGGAAATCCATGCAATACGCTGCTTTCATGGATCTCTAAAGATTATGAATGGTGGAGGTGCCTCCTTGTAAAAGGCTTTACTGAGTAGGATTTTAGCTTGGTCCAAAGTTAACATAGCGTTAATGGTGCAAATCTGAGACTTTAAGCTGTAAGCGCCTTGTCGTACTTTGGTGAGATCAGCATGAGCCACTACAAATACTGACAGGACCTTGCAGATACCAAGAAATGGAATGTGGGTAGGAGCTGATCCTGTTCACTTCATCTGCGGGGAATGATTTAGACTTTCTTGAAACAGGTTAAAGGGTAACCACTCTGACAGTGAATGCTCATTTTTTACATGGAGTCTTTCATTTGTGGTTGTCTGAGCTCAGGAGCAGGTTCTTCATCTTAGGGGAAAAGGAAAAGATAAATGTGGTCTGGAGAAGAAAGGAAAAACAATAAATGGTTCCTAAGAGTCCAGATGTTTGACCTTTTTTTTTTAAAGCAATGCTGAGGATTGAACATAGGGCCTCACTCCTGGTAGGCAAAGTACCCTTGATTTGTTGGCTCTTATATGGACTAGCTGTGTAACCTTGATAAGCCACCTAGCCTCTTTGAGGTTCAGTGGCCAGAAAAAGATTTTTAACGGGTCGCTTGCTGAGGCCAGGGTCAAAACTAAATCTTGAGATTCTCTAACTTGAGCAGGCTCAGCAAGATAGCAAAGACTATCCTAGTAGATATTCTTTGGCATTTTGAAAAAAAAAAACAAAAGTAGTGTGGACCACAGCTCTCGACTTATAATTGTATGGACAATCTTTTATTTTCACCAATATATAAAAGGAAAACTGTCATAGACGTGTTGTCCGAGATAGTAGCTGCTGGCAATATGCCAGTATTTAAACATCAATTAATTACCGAAATAATAAATAATAACTACCAAAACTGATAAATTCAGTTCATCAGTCACGCTAACCACATTTCAAGTGCCTAAAAGCCACATGCAACCACTGTCCTTTTATATTGGGCAGGGCAGGCACAGTACATCGTCATAATCAAAGAAAATCCTATTGGTCAGTGCTGCTCTTGACCTTTGCCCAAAACACTAACTGCAGCTGTGTGTCCCTTACAGCAGGGTGTAGATATCCATGCTCTAGAGCAAGTATGTCCATCTTCAGGGAAGGAAAGGAGATAAAACTCCATTTGAACAACGATGTGCAAGAAACACTTCAGGCAATGGATATTAGCACTGAACAAGAATTTGAGAGAGATCAGGAGCAGGGGAGGTTAGGATTAGAAACCCCTGAATCTCCTGTGGCTCAGACCCTGTCTAAGCCTGAATCTCAGGAGGACACAGTACCACCAGAGGGGAGGTCGTCAAAGATATCGTCATCTTAGGAAAAGTGTGAGTAGACCAGGGATGGCTTCATCCTTGGGAGGCAAAGGGCCCTCGAGCATGCAGCAATGGGGAAAAGTTATGTTTGGCCAATGCTACTTAAGAGAAGGTTGTTACATAGCCAGTTGAATTCAAACAGTTGAGAGGAGTAACCACTCTGACAATTAGCTTTTTAGGTATAGATCTGTGCGGTCAGAACCAGCTCACATGTTGAGGCTTAAGTCTTAGTAAAAAAATATCAATGGTACAAGGAGAAGGCTAGGTTCTAGGGTCCCTGCCAACGAGAAGGCCATGCACATGCAGAAAGGAAGAAATCAGAGGCAGACGGCCGAGAATGTAATTTTACCTGCTGTCTGGAAGCCATCTGTGAGGGGAATCACCTTTCTCTTCTGGACTTACTTCCAGGTGCAGCTGCAGGGGACGACACCGAAGATGCAAGCACTGAATTCACTGACAGTATTGAGGAGGAGGCTGCACACAACAGCCACCAGCAAGTAAGTCAGAGTCAGGTTCTGGGGTTCCCAGGGAGGAAAGCACATGGTCCTTCTGGGGTCTAACGGTCTCCTGCAGTCCTTGTGCCCGGAAGTGAGAAGACATCATTGTCCATAGCTACTTCCCAGTCTATTTCCTGTCCTCCCCGGCTGCTTCTCCAACCCACAGCCTCACTCTGCTTTTTTTCTTTAACCCAGCCTTTTGTTTTTACTACTTCTGTTTCTTTCTTCTACTTCTTGCCCCTTCCTACCCACCTTTGCCCCTATTTATTACCTGTAGCTATAGCTTCAGAAGAATTTTTACATACAAGATAATGAATACTTCCTGTTTGGGGCTTTTGTACCTGAAACCCACCAGAGAAGACAGGGAGACATCGAAGGGCTGCTGGGGGAGGTGGTAGGGCCGAGGACCTGCAAGGCGAAAGTGCAATCTGAGAAACTCCAAGAGGTCTGGGATGCCTCCAAAGCAGGGATCTTTGCAATCTCATTATCCAAAGGACTTTGCTATACAACCTGACAAACTACCCAGAGGGTGACAAAGTGAATGACCAACAGATGACACAGCAAGCCCCTTTTTGAGTCTCAGAATTTGGTACTCAAGGCTGAAACACTGTTCTCACCCACCATCAGGGAAGGTGTGACCAACATGTTCCCAAGTCTGAGAATGAATGTCCTGAAACTCAGAGATTAAGTCACCTGAAGTGATCCCACAGCACGCATTGGAACTCTGATGTGTCTCTACTTTGCCCAGTGACCTTTAACAGTCACAGCTCTCAAGGGGCCATACCTGTGACTTTAAGTTGCTACATAAAGAGTGGATCGTTGGCAGAAATCCTTCTGCAAAAGCAGCTGGAATTTTTCAGTGATAGCTCCCCTGGGTTTTTTAGGAAGGAGAAATAAGGCTTCCTGGGTCTGCTTGTACATCTCCTATATGAGAAAAAGAAGAGACCACTGATAAGCCAATGAGTACAGCCCAAATGAACAAGCCTTATATAATTTGGCCCTGTCTTTGACTCTTGAAGGCATGATTAATTGTCTAGGATACCTTACATCACACAAGAGTTTCTTTACCTTCTACCAAGATCCCTTTTTTGTTGCTCTCACCATAACTAACCTCACTTCTCTCTTGAGTTTCGCATCAGCTCTACTTCTCCTTTTGCTCAAACAGCCTCTTCTAGTCTGCTTCACTGATGGCTGTGACTCTGTGTCCACCACTGCCCCTCTGCACAGATGCCTCTGCCCTGCACTCCCTGATTCTAATGAGGATCTTGGGCAAGAGAGAGAAACTTGGAGGATGGGCATTTGTCAACTTTAAGACATTTAGACTAGGGTATCAGCGGGTCACTGATGGTTATAACATCTACGGGACAGGATTAACTCCAGAAGAACAAAGAGGAGACACAGACCTGAGGAACGTCCGATTCTGATTGATATAATCTGAAATATTCCTGGTAGTGCAAGTCCTGCAGGCAAACTGGTTTTTAAAGTCATTTCTTCCTCAGCCTAGCATCAAGAATATGACCAGACCCTATTTTGAAAAGCTCAGTCCAACTTTTCAGTGATAGCTCCCCTGGGGGTGTATCATAATGCTTGCCATATGAGTTGGAGTAGAATACTTGGCATAGTTCTAAGTTATAGTATAAGTTATAGCATAAGGTAGAGTGATAACAAACCTTTGGATTAGGACTTGACTTATGATAGACAGAATGTTTTCCAGATGAAGAATCTCCTGGGCAAGCGCCATTTTTCTACCACCTTTCCTTGAAAATCAATCTTCACTTTTGGGTAAGAGCAGCCTTCATGTGTAAAATCATTCTAAGTTGACTTCATGCTATCTGGACTTTGAGTTTGTGACTCTCCTGCTATCAATTAAATAAAGTTTGCTTTGCTACAACTTTTTGTGTCCAGATTCTCAAAAATTTGTTTGCTCATTTCCAGAGAAACGGTCCCTCACATTTAGGTTCTAGTTCCTCCTTGTTGTCCCCTTGGAAGATAAGCTCCCTCTTTACCTCAAGCATACGTATACTTCTCCTAACAAACACATCCACGTGTGTGCTCCTGGGCAACAGCTTTGGCTTTAGCCAAAGCAAATTGTCCCTTCTCATTTTTCGGATACACGCACCTTAGGAAGTCTCACGTCTGGTCACGATAGTAATTTCCTCTACATGTCTCTCACAAAATTCCAATCTCAAACATATATGATCTCTAATAAATACTTAGGAAATTCCCATGAAAGAAACAACAGTAATCAACTATTGATTTTATTCATTTGAACTTTTGCAATGGAGAAAAGCTAATCAGGAAGTAAGACTCAAACACAAAGGAGAGAAATCAATAGACTAGGTGTGATTAACCTGAAAACAGCTACTTTTAAAAGATATCTTTATTATCAAATCATAATTATATCTATTAATAGGGTTTTGTTTGTTTATTGCCATACTGGGGATTAAAGCCACGGCCTTGACACATGCTAGGCAAGTTCTTTCCTCCTGAATTACACCCGGCCCTGTTTGTTTTATCTGGAGACACAGGGTCTCCCTAAGTTGCCCAGGCTGGTTGCAGACTTGAGATCCTCCTATTTCAGTTTCATTCTGATGTTGCAATATATGTATACAATGTGGAGTGGTTAATTAAAGCTAATTAATGTATTTATCACCTCACCTACCTATAATTTTTATCATGAGAGATATGTGAAATTTGTTCTTAATTATTTTGAAATGTACAAGATATGATTATTGACCACAGTCATCTTGCTGTGCAATAGATACCAGGATCTATTTCTTCTGTTTGAAGCTTTGTACTCTTCGGTTAACATCTCACTCTCATCTTTCCCACCCATCTAGTAACCACCATTATGCCCTCTACTCCTGTTAGTTCAACTTTACTAGATTCCACATGCAGCCATGTAATCGAGATCGTGTGGTATTTGGCTTTGTGCTCCTGGTTTATTTCACTTAGCCTGATGTCCTGCAGATTCATCCAGATGACCGGTTCCCCTTTTTAAGGCTGAATAGTATTCCTTTGTATATGTGTACCATGTTTTTGTTGTTGATCCATTGATGAACACCTAAATTGACTCCATACCCTGGCTATTATAAATAATACTACAGTGGACATCAGATAGCTGATATCCTTTGGCATATTGATTTTAGCCTCTTTGGAAATAGACCTAGAAGTGGGATTAGTGTAGTAGTGCTATTTTTAGATTTTTGAATATTACCCATACCATTTTCTACAAAGGCTACAGTAATCACCATTCCTACCAACAATTTATGAGTTCCCTTTTCTTGATGTTTTCTCCAACAGTTCTTCCTTTTGGGGAGGGGACAAAAACCATTCTAACAAAACTGAGGCAATATGCAATTGTGGTTTTATTTTGCAATCCCCAATGATTAATGATGTCTAGTATTTGAGCAAAGACAATTTTAGCCCTTAATAGCATCTGAGAACTGACATATTATAAGAAACACTGTATAACACAGTAAGGTAAAAACAAAATAACTCTTTCAAGTGAGAAATTAGATCTGCAGTAAACCTCCTCAGGGCACATAGGAGCTTAGCACCAAAGAGCTGAACTGCATAGCAGCAATAGCACACATGTATTAAGTAATGTGAAAGAAAGAAGCAACCTGTTCGACAGATATAATTAAAAATTAAAATAGGCCTAATGAGTAATACCTGATGCATACCACCAGGCATATTAGAATTCTTCGAGTTTTATTTGAGGCAAAACATAAATATTTGCCTTTTATAGATGATTAAAATGAAGAGTCTAGATTCTGAATCACTTTTCATGCATTTATATTTATATTTAAAATTTAAGGTTATCAAAAATGAAAAATTAGGCCAGATGGACCTTAAGGTCCTTCTAGTATTAACATATCATGAGTCATCATTTTTTTTTCTTTTCAAAGAAAATAGGTAAGTTGAAATCAATCGAATAAGATCACATACATCCAGAAGACACTTTAAAAACGCATGGCTTCACTAAAGTTAGACATTATTTTTAAGGGGAAGGACCCCTTCAGTTTTAGATAAGAATAAATACTGTGCCTGAATGCAAGTCTGACGGTAATGTTCATTTAAGTTAAAAATAGATGTGAAAGGTTTATACAGAAAGAGAGATCACATAGTTTAAATGAATGGTAGGGTCATAAGGTTGGCTTTGTCCAGTGCTCCATTCTTTATTACATCTCAAATGTGGTGCCGCATGTGGAGGTGGCCACTAGCCTTATCCTAGTAGCACAGTCTCAGGGACAGACATTGTCAGGAGCCTGCCAAATGGCAGCCTCCCAAACCCCAGTTGGGAGTGGATTGAGTAGCCATGTCTGTGTATCGCTTTCTTTTACAACATAGGTGCACAACTCTTTACAGCTCACTACTATGCTACTACATACTATTGCACACTCATGCTACGTATGAATTAACCTTGCTACAAAGAAACAGCTTCAATTTCACCATCCTGTGTTAGGAGGAAGAGCAAAAGTCAACGGCTTTGTGTCATCCCAAGCTGCTCTATCAATCACGGATCTATGTACGTTGCTGTGGACCCTGTTCTGTTCAATATCAGTGATCTGAGTGAAGACATAGAGGGCATAACTAAGTCTACGAATTATTCCTAATTAGGTGGCCATTACATGTTTTGTGGAGATGCACGTTAAACATTTTAATGGCTTTCAGAGTCAGGAAATGACTCTATGTAGCCACAACGAACTTTTAAGTGGCAAGTACATAAATAGCAATACTTATAGAGATAAAAATATCCTATAAATAGCTGTGGGAAGGAGGTGGAAAAGGAGAGTCAAATTTGATCTGAAGTTAAATGTAAATCCCGAACACTGCCACTGAGAGGGGAAAGAAAAGCCAACGTGACATTCAGATATACTAAAATTAAGGTTGGACGGACAAACTGGAAATCCTTGTACTGAAATAATCATACACTAAGTAGACTGAACACTCAAATTTTGATTCTGCACTTTGAAAAGCATGGGAAGCAACTGGAGAAAAGCCCAAAATGAATGATAAGAAAGTCTAAAAGTTCACAAATTCCCATTTTAGGAAAAAACATAACATCTGCTTTAATTGAGACATTGAAAAACATTAAAACCTTGAGAAACTCCAAGAGTATCCAAAGAAGAAAAAGAAGAGAAAGAAGAGGAGGAGAAAGTACTGAGAAGTTCTACTTTTTCTTCTCACATGCTTAGATTTGTAGGGAGAATTTGGCTGATAGTATTGGCACAAGTGTACTAACCAAAGTATATAATTTGTAGCTGGGCAGAGTGGCTTCATCTCAACTTCTCAGTGGTGATAGAGTGTAATTCTCCTGTTGTTAATGAAATTGAGCTTGCGTTGTTTTACCTTCAGCTTCATTCTGACTCTAGTTCTGTGACCAAGTGCTCCTGTTTCCTTTCTGAGTACCCTGGGTCCTCCTTCTAATCTCCTCTTTGGAGTCTAAGTTACAAAGAGGGTCTGGGGCGTTGCCCATAGCATCTTGAGCCGTGACCTTTGCAGTCTGAGACTCTAGGGCTGTGGAGCTGACTTGTAAGAAGACTCTCAGAGAGCCCTGTCCCCACAGGAAGAGAAGAATTGCAATACCCATACTCCCTAGAACTGCTTAAAACTCATTTGTAGTGCAAGGTCCTGAGTTTGATCCCCGGTACCAAAAAACAAAACAAACAAACAAAAACTCATTTGTTTGCCTTTCTTTTAAAGTGTGTGTGTGTGTGTGTGTGTGTGTGTGTGTGTTTCATCCATCTCTGAATTCTTCTCTTCTCTTCTCTTCTCTCTGGCAACAACTCCTCCTGCTCAACGGGTGCATCTCCCTCCCAGAACTAGCCTTTAGGACCTTTATAGCTGACAAAGTCTTTGGACAGAAGTTCATTTTAGTTTGCCTTTCTGTTGTTGTCCCATTAAAAGGGTGACCTTGGCATCACGTGTTCCTCTTGAATCCTCTTTGATGACCTAACTTCTTTAAACTGTGATTTTCTTTCAGCTCATCAAGGTAGCTTTGGAGAAAAGCTTGGCAACTGTGGAGACCCAGAGCACAGCTCTTCTCCCTCCTTCCCCAGTGGGAGGGGACAGTAACAGGGGTCTTCAGGAGGAAATGCTTCACCTGAAGGCTGAGATCCACCAGCACTTAGAGGAGAAGAAGAAAGCTGAGGGGGAACTCAAGGAGCTAAAGGCTCAAATTGAGGAAGCAGGATTCTCCTCTGTGTCACACATCAGGTAGGACATTGTCTTTGGAGAAGGGGAGCCTGCCACCCATGAGTCACCACAGCCAGGGACTCACCTTGCAGCCACCAAGGCATGTGTGCTGCTGTGGTGCTATTTGCTCCCATCCCAGGGTCTACATATTAATGTTCTTGAAAATCCTTTAGAGAAAAGTTAATAATATTAACTAATGGCAATCACTTTTGTTATCCAGATACATCTGGTCTTAATTCAATATAATAATGTCCATATTATTGCCTATATGCCCACGATGCATATGCAACCACGGGTACGTCCTCCTAGTTGTATGACTGGTATTAGACTCGTGAATTGATTGGAATGTATAAGGAGTCTCCTACTCTAGAAGTGTCCCTGCTGCATGCAAAACCAGAGCAGTGCATACTGGGGAGGATTTCAATAGAGGCCCCTTCATCTCCACTCAGCTCCCTCCCTCCTTATAAGTGTGAGTCCCTGAATCATGGAAGAGCAATTTTAATCGTCTCTGCTGCTTTATCAAATTATAAAAGTGGCAAGCAGGGCTGGGGATTGAGCTCAGTGGTTCCACCACCTGCCTTGCAAGCACAAGGACCTGAGTACAATCCCCGGTACCAAATAAAGAAAGAAAGAAAAGAAAAGTGGCAAGTAGGTAGTTCATGGGCTAGTCCGGCTACTCTTTTAATGGCTTTTGATCAAAAAGTGGTTGGGGAGCATACTGATACTGTAAAGCTAATCCACGGATTCATTCACTCCCCGAGGGCTCTAATCACCATGACCTGTTGTTTAGACTACAACTATTCAGCAGCACAACTTCCAATTCGTGTTTTATTGCTGAACTTCTTTGAATCATGTTAACACTTGGCATCCAGCCTCCTGTCCTTGTTTCACAGCTGAGGAAATTCAGGCCTAGAAAAGCCCACAGGACTTGCTCAAGATTGCAAAATGGTCTATGGCTAGAACCCTGGCTGCTGGTTTTGGGGATTTTTTAAAATTTTTCTTTGTTTTAGGTACTGGGGATTGAACTTGGGACCTTGTGCTTTCGAGGCAGAAGGCGAAACCACTGAGCTAAATCCCCGGCCCCCTATTTTGTTTTGTTTTGTTTTTTAACACCTAACACTTTCTTCTATATATTATACATTTTATCAAAGAATTTTTAAAAATTACTATAACTTCTAAATCTTGGTTTGGTTATTTTATGCTAAATTATCATAATTTAAATTCTCATATGTTTAATTCTACTTAAGTTAAAGCATAAATTTGGCTTTAATTTCCGTGTTGTAAGTCAATGAGATGTCATGGGGATATGACAGTACATCTCTTTAGATTCTACATGCCACATTTAGGTACTTTCACGGGTTATTTTCTTTTTGTTTTTCCTGATTTACTAACCTGTAACTGATTGGTTTAACTTACCACCCAAACAACTCAAAGGTACTGATGTTGAAGATATCATTTATGTAATCCCTCATCCATCCTTTCAATAATATTTTGTTGAGTTTTGCTTACATTAGTTTGTCCTGTGAACACATAGGAATTTTCCCCAAAACACAAATTGCTACCATAATATTAAATATTCTTTCCCATACATCACATGTGTTGCTTTTTCTGTCTCTCTCCTTCATCCCAGTTTTGGTAATATGCCCATCCCCACCTTCTCCACTGAAAAACTACCTTATAGTTTGTCTGAGTTCTGTCTCCTAGAGTATTTTCTTCCCTGAATCACAGCAGAAAAGTTCTGCTCCACGACTTCAGGATTCTAAGAAATCTAATCTAGGTGCATGGCCAACTGCGGACACTGAGGATGTAAATTATTTATTACCTTTGTCTCCTCTGGTTCAGCATCCTCAGTGGAGCATGCTTAAGAATCATCTGTGGAACTGAAGTGAAATGCAGATTCATAGGCCTCAGCTCTAAAGCTTTTGTAGCAAGCACCTCAAGAGATTCTACTGCTGGTATTTCTCAGATCCACAGATATACTATAGCAGCAATCAAATGATTTCTCCATGGCTGATCTGAGCCAACATACCCTATGATAATTTCATGAACATCCACAAATGTTATAATCTTTATTTTGTGTAAAAAACAAGTGTCATCATCCTTATAAATACAGGAATTGCCTTACAAAAGTCACGGTTTTTATTGCTTCCATCAATCCTAGCAGCCGGGCGTGGTGGCGCACGCCTGTGATCCCAGCACACGGGAGGCTGAGGCAGGAGGATCGCTGTGAGTTCGAGACCAGCCTGGGCTACATAGTGAGTTCCAGGTCAGTCTCAACTACATAGTGAGACCCTGTCTCAAAAAACCAAAAAAAAAAGGGGGGGTGCCAGGGATTTAGCTCAGTGGTTCCACTGCCTGCCTTGCAAGTGTAAGGACTCAAGTTCAATCCCCGATAACATAACAAAAGGATTTGTTGGTGGGAAAAGGTAGAGCTGTGTTGTAAATTCATTGTTTTAGGCAATTTTATTTCTTTCTTTTCTTTTTTTTTTTTTTTTTTTTTTTTTTTGTTCCCGGGATTGAACTCAGGACCTTGCGCTTGTGAGGCAGGTGGCAGAACCACTGAGCTAAATCCCAGTTCAGGCAATTTTATTTCTTCAAAAAATAAAAATTTTATATGGCAGCCACTTGTGGGGCCCTGGGGGTGTAGGATGAACAAACCAAACACAGTGGCTGCTCCCTTGAAGGTTATCTCCTACCACACAAGCCAAACGTATAAGAAATTAACATATAAATGCATCTTGATTATAGTTGATTACTATGATTTATTTCTTCTGTGTCCCTAGGTCTCAATTTACTTGTTAGTGGTTTAAAACTTATTACAATTAATAGAACCATAGACTCCATCATGATGTCATTTAGTCATATGTAAGGTCCTTCTTAATTTTTATTCCTCGGTATAAGTGCCTTTGTGTATTCCAGAGGCCACTGAAAATTAGAGCCTATGAGACTGTGTAGCAAAGTAAAGAACACCAGATCCAGACTAGGGGTTTTAAGACCAGAAGTTTTAGTGACAGTGCTGTCACCAAGTAGCTGTGGAAATATTTGGTATGGGGAAAGTCTCATTCTTCCGGATTCTTGGTTTTCTCATGTATGAAATAAGGGTGTTGTTCTATTCTGTGAGGATGTTCCATGCTCTGTGTGTCTCTGAGTCTCTCACGAGATGTGGGTGAAGGGATGGTTAGGGGTGGGGCTGAAGTCCAGATCTGGCCCCTGATTGTGTGTTTCTTGCAGGAATACTATGCTGAGCCTTTGCCTTGAGAATGCAGAGCTGAAAGAGCAGATGGGAGAAGCAATGTCTGATGGATGGGAAATCGAGGAAGACAAGGAGAAAGGCGAGGTGATGGTGGAGACCGGGGTCACCAAAAGGGGTCTGAATGAGAATAGCCTTCAGGCTGAGTTCAGAAAGCTCCAGGGGAAACTGAAGAACGCCCACAACATCATCAACCTCCTCAAAGAACAGCTGGAACTGAGCAGCAAGGAAGGGGATAGTAATCTAAATCCGGAGCTCCTTGTGCACCTGGCCAAGGAGATTGACAGGACGAACACAGACCTGGTTGGTTCTCCTGGGAAACACCCAGGCCAAGAGGAGGAGGCGGTGATCAAGAGGCCTTGCCCTAGACCCCAGAGTCTGGACCTTGAGGCAGCCGTGGCAGTTGATGCCCACCAAGTAAGTGAGGGCATGGGTGGAATGAAAAACACCTGGAGATGAGCCGGAGAGTTCAATTTTTACCTTAACTTTTCTGTCTTGTGGGTCAGGGAGGGTGCCTCTGTGCCACAACCAGTAGATGGTAATAAAGGCACTCATTCAGCTTTAGAAAGGCTTTATGCCCTATCATGAATATTTCTTGATTACTTAGCTCTCCAGGTAACACACCAGGCATCGGAAGGGGGTAATAAGACCTGATGTCCACTTCAAGATGCTCAATATGGTGGGGGAATGCCACAAAACAGATAATTTTCATAGGATACAAATGCCACAATATTGGGATGTATTGGGTTTTCAGGCAGCCCAGACAAGCGGTATGTAATGACGTCTCCTCCTTATCACTGGTATTTTCATCTCAGTGTATCACACGTGTCTGTGTCTCAGACTCAGAAGGGCTGGGATCCTTAAAGGAAGGAGCTTTGCCAAGGGCTCAGTAAGATGGAGAAGGCAGAGATTCTCGGGGAAACTCTGGGACAAGAATGCAGGGAAGGTTAATGGAGGTTTCTACCTCTTATCTTTCGCCACTGAGCTGGCATTTACTAAGAGCTCTTCTGCGGACTAGATTGGCACTGTGTTATGTGCTGCAGATACGGAGATGAATAAAACACTATCCCAGCTCTCCAGGAGCTCTGGCTCGAAAGCAAGCGACTGCCAAGTGGCATGAAAAGTGCTGTGGCAGACACATGAATGTAGTTAACAGTGTCGTGAGAAAGCGTAGTGACTGTCACCCTGCGGAAGTGACCTCGGTCTGTATTGGCCTTTTCCTAGTTCAATAACCAACCCCAGGCCCCGGATTCTGGGCCTCAGTCAGAATTTAGCCTGCCGGGGTCCACCAAGCACTTGCGCTCCCAGCTGGCCCAATGCAGACAACGCTATCAAGATCTCCAGGAGAAGCTGCTGATCTCAGAAGCCACAGTCTTTGCCCAGGCTAACCAGCTGGAGAAATACAGAGTCATATTTAGTAAGTATCACAAGCTCGCTGTCACCAAAGTCTTCTCTCATGCTTTGCAGATTTTATTTTTTTGCCCTAACCTCAGAACAAATTCAGTCCTGACCGTAGTTCTAGAACCGTGGAAGTGCATATTTTACTTTAATCTGCAGATATCAGAAAAGAATAAAGGAATAAAAGCATGGTTTTAAGGTTCCAGTGAGAGTGTAGAGAGGAAATGGGCTAACAGATAGGTTTGCTGATTTCTGGGGTCATCAATAAATTGCCCCTCAAGACGTTAGAGCTGCGCAAGCAGGCCGAGGCCAGGCGGAGGGAGATTGAGGCAGAGTTCGAGCAAGTCCCGCAGTTCCTGCAGGGCGAGCAGGAGGACGAGTGGAGATCTTAGCAGAAGTGAACCGGAACCTGGGCGTCTTCTCCGCCTGCGAGTCTGGCCTAAGAGTGAAGGCTCGGATGCATGTGGCGGTGCTGATGTCCCTGAAGGGCATCGAGGACGGGACGCAGAAGCTCAGGCGCCCCGTGGAGCTGCACCGTGGAGCTGAGCAGCTACGAGGTGAGGCTCCCGCCCAGCTTTGCGGTCTGGCCCGAATGGGATCGTGCAGCACTTCCGGATCGAGGAGCTCTACGACCCTGCCACTGCCCACTCGCAGCTCGCCAAAGACTACACTGCCACGATGACTGGAGGAAGGTCTGCTACGCCCCCAGGAGGTTCTACCTGTACCCCGCCGTCCTGGGCCTCCAGAGCTTCACCTGGGCCGGCACGACTGGGAGGTGGACACCAAGGTGGGCACCAAGCCCAAGTGGACGGTGAGTGCCTGCCGGGGCTGCCTGCCCCGCAACTGGCGCAATGAACCGACCCTGAACCCCAGCTTCTGGGCCCTCGGGCACTGCATGGACACCAGCTACCTCACCTTCGGCCCCCAGAAAGCCCAGATCGTGCCCAAAGTGAGGCCCCGCAAGATCGGCCTCTTCTTGGACCAAGAGCTGAGCGAGGTTTCCTTGCACACGCGGACGACGGGTCCCTGCTCTACACTTCCCATCATTGATTCACCAAAACCATCTGGCCTTATTTCTATATTGGAACAGATCCCGAGCCTATCAGTGTCAGATGATGAAATGTAAACAACGTTAATCATTTCGAGTTTAGTCTTTAGGACCAGCTGAACTCGATCTCCTTTCCAGAAGCGTTGTAAATTTCACCACTTATGCAAAACCGGAAAAGATTTTTTCATTCATCCATGTTTTAAGCAACTATGAGAAACATTACTGCCATGATGATACAGTGCCAGTCCCATAGATATAAAGTCAATTGTCAAATGTGATTTGAATTCTGAGGCCCTTGATTTATTAGTCTGAGAGACTAACCTTGAACTCCCGGTGATCCTCTTCTCTCAGCCAAGACTTGTATTTATTTTTTATTTGAAAAGGAAGAAGTAAAACTTTTTTATTCACAGATTATATATGCTAAAAAAAAAAAAACCTACGAAAGAGCTACTAGAGCTAATGAATTTCACAAGATGGCAGGCTACAAGAACAAAATACAATTATATGTCCATGTTCTAGCAAAGGGTGATTGGACACAAATTTCAAATACCATTTACCATTTTTAAAAGCTGAAACTAAAAAGCAATTACATTAGCCTCCCCTATTTGTGGTTTCATATTCCATGATTTTCCCTCCCATGGTTTCAGTTATAGTTAACTATGGTACAAAAACATGAATGGAAAATTATACAAAAAAATAATTCTTAGAATTTTAAATTGTCATTGTAAATAGTGTGAGGAAATCTCCAACCGTCTTGCTCTATCCCAGGCAGGATATGTACTATTCCCCAGTGTATCCATGCTGTGTATGCTATCCACCCATTGGCAACTGAGAGATTACATTCACAATAGCTTGTTACACTGTATTGCTATAGTTGACCTGTTTTATTATTTGTTATTGCTGTTAATCTCTTACTGCTCCTAATTTATAAATTAAAGTTTATCAGAGGTACACAGGTATGTATGTGTAGAAAAAAACATGTGATCAGTACTATCCATGGTTCCAAGCATCCGTATGAGATTCTTGGACGGTGTGCTCTACTGAGAAGGTAGAATTAATGGATAACAAGATTGCAGGATAGAGACTTGTATTTCTTATATTCGATAAATCAATTATTTTGGTGCACTGCTGGGGATTGATTCCAGGACTTTGTGCATGTTTGGCAAGTGCTCTATCACTGAGCCATATAAATACATTTTATATTTGCTTTGCTTTTTTTCAGATGGGGTCTCCCTTTGTGGTTCAGCCTTGCCTTGAACTGTGTAGCCCAGGCTAGCCTCAATCTTTCAGGATCCTCCTGCCTCAGCCCCCTGAATGCTGGGGTCACAAGTATTAATCACCATGCCCATCTCCAATAAAATATTTTTTAGAAAGGGTATAATTAATATTATTGACATTTATAATCAGATGGCAATTGGGTATATAGTTTCCATATTTTATACTTTTCATAAATAAAAAATAAAAAAATTAATTGCCCTGGCTCTCTTAGCATAATTATTTTTCTTTTCTGCTTTTCTTTGCACCATGATAGAATCTTTGAAAACATACCATCATTTTGGCGTAGAATCAGCAGTATCCACTGGAACTTCTTGGGGTGATGGAAATATTTTGTATCTACACCACATGTAATGTGGCTAGTGCAACTTGGAAATTTTAAGTTTTATTTCATTTTAATTAGTTTGACATGAAATAGCATATGTGGCTAGTAACTACCTTATCAGACCGTGCAGGTATAGATGTCTTGGGACTCTAAGTTTATTCATCTTCATTCAAACATTTACTGAGCCCCTCTGGATAAGCCCTTGCTAGTCTCATCAGGGCTTCCAGAGATGTCTGTGTGCAGTACCCAGCTTACACACATCTGGTTCCAACTATGACTGGCTTATCAGAAACAAGATCATCAGGGCAAATCCAGGCTTCCTTGGGGAGGGAAGTCCCGCTACCTGGAGCAGGTGATTTCTTCTTCCACCTGAATCCAAAGAAGCATGTATACCATTCTGGATTTGGCTTTCTTGCCGCTAAAGGCCGGGGTATGTACCACCAAGGTTGAGAGAGTATGTGGGAAATTCGTGTACTTTCTAACACTGCTGTACCTTTCTGAGCAGGCGAGTCCCCAGTGAAGCAGGACAGTAAGCAGGTCCAGGTGGACCTCCAGGACCTGGGTTATGAGACTTGTGGCCGAAGCGAGAATGAGGCGGAACGCGAGGAGACCACCAGCCCAGGTAAGTGGCACAGGGAACACAGGGCCAAAGGAGGACAAGAACTTTGGAGAATTACTGTCCAAAAGGAGACCAAATTTGAGTTTGAACTTCTGTAATTAGTTTACAGTTAATAAAAATAAAATTCTATCCAACTTATTGTAATGGAAAAATAGTAAAGACCTACTCATCAAGGAAGAAACTGGATGAGCTTCTAGGAATATATAAACCATAAGATTGAAAGGTTTTTGTTTTGCTTATAAAAGAACTATAATCACAGGGTACATACCAATTTGAAACTGGGGAGAAAAACACTCATGATCTCTCTCATTCTTGAGACAGTGGGATATAGTGGTTAAAATCAGAGATCCTGGGGCTAGATTGCTTCATTCAAATCCCACTGTGAGTATTTTTGTGCCTCGGTTTCCTTATCTGTAAAATGATAAAAAGCAACTACCTAACCTATTGGAACTTATATCGATTAAATGAGTAAATCTTTACAAAACACTCTAGAACAGGACCTGAACCTACTAAAATGCTATGCATTCATTCTCATTCTGACTGCCACTGGCACAAACACAGCTTTTCATATGCTGATGCATTTCTCAGAGATCTTATTTTTCTAGGCCTATTTTTCACACAGTTGTAACTCAACAGACTTCAAATCATAGTAACACTTGGGAGCGTTAAACCGTCAGCTTGAATTGCAGTTTTCATGTCATTCTAAAAATATAAGGCCCATGTTAATGTCTTAAGAGACATCAGCGCACTTGTGGAAAGGACATAGGACATTTGAAAATTTGAATGCTGGCTCTTCACGTGCTAGTCTGAGTGATCCAAGACCATCTAGTTTACCTCTCTGAGATTTGGGTTCGCCGGTCAGTTAAATGGAATATGAACATACCTAATTTGGCAGGGCTGTGGGAGGATAAGAAGTGCTACATCTGAATGGCCAGGAGGGAGCCAGAGCTGAATGAAGTACAGCTTCAACTTTTGCTCCAGTCGTTATTTGACCAAATGTGCTTCCCTCGAAGTGAGAGGCCACAGCAGTATATCCAGCTTGGATTTACAAAGATGTCTTCCTCTTTTTCAGAGTGTGAGGAACACGACAGCCTGGGGGACACAGTGCACATGGAGGGTCTGTGCTCTGAGCAGGAGTACCTGGGCCCAGCTCTGCTCAGCTCCCCTGGCAAGAAGCCTTTGGGAAGCCAGCTAGGAAAGTGTGAAGAATTCCAAGGATATGGAAAGTCAGAAGACATCTCCGTCCTACAAAAGAACATCAAAGATCTGAAAGTCCAGCTTCAGAATGCCAACAAAGTCATTCAGAACCTCAAGAACCGGGTCCGGTCCCTCTCGGTTACAAGTGATTATTCATCTAGTCTGGAAAGACCCCGAAAACTGAGGGCTGTTGGCACCCTTGAGGGGTCTTCACCTCATAGTGTCACTGATGAGGATGAGGGGTGGCTGTCCGATGGCACTGGGGCTTTCTACCCCCCAGGGCTTCAAGCCAAAAAGGATCTGGACAGTCTCATCCAGAGAGTGTCCCAGCTGGAAGCACAGCTCCCGAAAACAGGCCTAGAAGGGAAGCTGGCTGAGGAGCTGAGATCAGCCTCATGGCCTGGGTAAGGAGAGGATGTTACTTAATGGACAATGCCTAAGTTTGTGCTTGGAATAGGGCAGCTCAGGCAGCTGGAAGGGGAACATATCAAGTTAATCAGAAGGGCACTTTTTAAAATATTAGCAGGTCGACAGAAAGACAGGTATATCAGTAACCAGCAGAGCACTGGATGGTGGGCCAGTGCCTAGAAGATACCTGGTCTCTGGGATTTCCTGTTAGGGGTAAATTAGTAAACCTGTGGGATAGGACAGTAGTAAGGCTAGAGTCAGACTTCCTAGGTTGAAGTCCTATCTCTGACACTTACTGGTTGTACAACGTGCTTAAACTTCCTGAGTCTATTTGCATATGCATTAAATCAAAATAATGAAAGCAACCCAACTCAAAGGATGACTGATAGGTTTAAATGAATTCATACAAGTGCTTCAAATATTTTAAAATATTAAGCACTTGCTATTTCCTGTAATCATCATCATCATCATTATTATTATTATTGATTCTTTGCTTTGAAAAATTCTGAGTAGACATCCATATTGTTATCTGCCACTCCGTATTGTTATCTGGAGTAACGAACCACTCCGAAATATTGTGCTTTATCATCTCTCATGCTTCTGTAGATTGCCTGGCCCGGCTGGGTCTCCCTACATCGCTGCTGTCAGATGGTACTTAAGGCTAGAGTTTTCTGAAAGGCTGGACACAGTTACTTGGCTTCTTTACTCACGTGGCTAGTGATATGGCTCTTTCCAGCACCTCTGCCTCTCTGTGCCACTTCTTGTCCTACAGGGCTTTCCCTTCTGCTTGTGGCTTCTCGCACTGTGGTGTACTCAGGGTAGTTTCACTTCTACATGACGGCTGGCTTCTGATGTCAGAAGTGGGAGTTGCTGGTCAAGAGCTGCTCCTAGACTTGGCACAATGTTAACTTCCGCTATTTTATCTTGGTTAAAACGGTCAGAGAGGCTTCTCAGGCTTAAGAGGGTGGAGAAGAGCCTCTATCTGCTGAAGCTGGACTGGCAAGGCCATGTGTAGAAGAACACATGGGATGGGAGATTATATAATGGCCATCTTTGTAAAATACAGTAGCATAGAAGATATTCATGTGTCTGGTAGTGTTTGAAATGGAAGACAAGGAGTTCTTATCCAGATTTAGGATTAAGTGGTTCTAAGTTTTTATTATCAGCTATAAATAATACTGATGCTACAGGAGGTGTGAAATATGGCATTGTCTTCATTTATACAGAATTTGTGATTTACTTGCAGACATATTAATATATATAAAATAGTTGAAGAAGAGTGTCATCCTAAGGTTTTTGATACAGTAATCTCTCAGAATAGAATTTACTCTCTTTTTTGGTACCGGGGATTGAACTCGTGTCCTTGAGTGGCAGGCGACAGAATCACTGAGCTAAAGCCCTGGCCCTAGAATATACTCTTAACTATCTCTTATGGGTTATATGAATTCAGCTTGCAGAAGCCCTTCGATATCTTCTCACAGAGATCTCTGAGAAAGCTCCCATAACTTGTCATTCACTCTTTCCCATTCTTTCTCTCTCCCCTCTCCCTCTTTCCTACATTAGAAAATATGATTCCTTGATTCAGGATCAGGCCCGAGAACTATCCTACCTACGGCAAAAAATACGAGAAGGGAGAGGTATTTGTTATCTTCTCACTCAGCATGCAAAAGATACAGTAAAATCTTTTGAAGATCTCCTAAGGAGCAATGATATTGACTACTACTTGGGGCAGAGTTTCCGGGAGCAACTTGCCCAGGGAAGTCAGCTGACTGAGAGGCTCACCAGCAAACTCAGCACCAGTAAGTTGGCCAAGGGGGCTTTGGAATATGTTTGCACTTGGTCTGATTCCTGGCCCAGGTGGCTGCATTATCTTCACTGCAAATTTTCACCCAAAGTCCACTTCCCACTTCATCTCCTGAGAGCTATTACAGGGTCCGGGCCTGACCACTGAGGAGCATCAAGAGGAGCACGAAGGGTTGGAGATGCCATGGTTACGGCTCTAGAGACTTTATCACAAGTGGAACCTTTGTGGCAGGAGATAACACCCATCTAGTGCTAAGCGGGAGAAAGGAAGATGAGCTGAAAGGGCTTTGTAATGATGAAAAGAGCCCTGAACTACAATTGAAAGATTCCAGCTCTAGGCTAGGCGTTGCCATCCATTTGCTTTGGGCAAATGTCTCACCCTTTTGTGGTCTGTTTCTTCATTTGTCTCATGGCATTACACAGGCATGGACTTCAAATGTGGATGACGCACTGTGCCTTTGGGACATAGTTAAGGCCGTAGTTAAACAGCACTTTAAGGATTATGTTGGCTATTGTTAAAATCTTTTACTTAGAATTCCCTGGGAGCACCTAACGGAATATAGCAGGCTTCAATGTGGGGCCAACCAGTCCATCTACTGGTAGCAGGTACAGAGGTAGAACAGGACTATCTGTCATCTCCTCAGAGGCAAAATAGCTGCTGTGTGAAAGTGGGGATGGGACACACAGCTGCGCGTGTGGGAGCCAATCTGTGACCAGACATGGAGGCTGGAGCATTCCAGAGGGCAGCTGGGAGTGAGTCTCACGACCAAGGAGACAAACGACATTTCAACTTTTTGTTCTGATTCAGGGCAGATGAAGTCATGACGGTGATCACCAGGTCAGGGAGGGGCTACCTGGTGAGCTCAGGTGAGCCTGCCAGCTCACTTTCCTGAAAACTACCCTGGGGCCCCTAAACGATTATCATGGACACATGTGTAATCACTGTTCTGGGCCTGAGTAAACCCCTGTGTTTGTAATGTATGGACGGGGACTGTTTCTTTTCTCACTGCTTCTTTCTGAATTTGGTTTGCAGAGGATCATAAAAGTGAGAAAGAAAAAGCTGGACTTGAGCCACTGGCCCTCAGGTAATTCAAAAGAGAATATGATAAAGAACTCAAGGCCAGGTAGCCGGGTCAAGGGTGACCACATTTTCAGAAGTCAGAGAAAAAGGAAAGAAAAAAATAAATGTTATGAAATCATTTATTCATCGAACACCTTACTGTTGTCTTTAACCATGTTCTTCCTTTTGAATACAATTTTATTGGGATAGTAACGAGCTCAGGAACCTGGATGTAGTCTGATGCATAAGTGAACTGAGCAGATTTCAAGAGTCTTCTCACCCCCGAGATCCTTCCCTCCCTGCCATGCCCCATGTAGTTAATGACCCGGCTAAGCATTTTGCATGCTGACCTGCTTTGAACTGGGTTGACAGCCAGCTGAACAGTCTCTCGGTTACTTGAAGAACAAAGAATTACCTCATGGTTCTGACCTAGTGAGAAGGACCTGGACAGTGCACGGTCTGTCCTTCAGGGAACTAGATGATCCATTTGTCAGTCTTGAATGTTGGGACAATGTTTTGTTAGATGCTTCTCAGTGTTTACTTTCAGTTTTGTACTTGACTTGTTAGAGATGATAACAAATAGTCCTCAGAATGCAGCTATTCGGGGACCGTTCCTTATGCAGAAATCCCATACAGGACTGGCTGTGTCTCCTCCGGTCCTCAGCATCCTAGGCGGCCAGTGCACTGGGGAGCTACTGTTCTCTCTCCATCTCTCTCTGCCTAACCTGCACCTCTAATTAGAGCTGAGTTATTTCCATTATTCTCTGCGGAATGGTCCCCTTGGCTTGCGTGGTTTTTCCCATAAGTTTTAGTTAGGACTAAGTAGTCTGGGCGACCTTAGTTTACCTGTTGTTCACCTCACTGTCCACCCAGGCTCAGCAGGGAGCTGCAGGAGAAGGAGAAGGTGATTGAGGTCCTGCAGGCCAAACTGGATGCCCAGTCTCTCTCGCCTTCCAGCAGCCATGCCTCGTCTGACTCCCACCGCTCTCCCAGCAGCACCTCCTTCTTGTCCGATGAGCTAGAAGCCTGCTCTGACATGGATGTAGCCAGCGAGTACACTCACTATGAAGAGAAGAAGGCTTCGCCTGATCACTCAGGTAGCCCCCACTTTCTGAGTGGTGCCATCGCTCTCTAGATTGAGATGAGATCTTGGGAACCAGGCCTTATAGTTCTACCTTGGTGTGCAGCAGGCCGAATGTGGTTCTAAGATCAAGGGCCAAGCTCAGGCTCTCCTAGGAGAGGATCTCTGCTCTGCTCCTGATTCTACGCATTTCTCTGTCATCCTGGCCTCTAATGGCACATGTGTGCTGTTGGACTCAAGATAACCAATAGTGTGGAAAGTGAGAAGGTGGGGGAAGGTTTTTCTCCCTCCCTGGGTTTGTCTGATAGACCTCTTTCTTAAAGATAGAGAATCTCATCTCTCCTGCAGTAATCTTGCTACTTGCAGCTCCTGAGCTGTATCCCCTGAGTGTCTATGGGTGTCTGTAGATATTCTCAGTCTTGACTGGTACTTTTGGAGGCACCATTTTCATGATTTCAGGGCTCTGAGCCCTTCTATTACCGCTAAAATGTTTTGTCTCACTAAAGTTTCTGTCTTAAAGCAAGAAAATGAACATTGCTTGTGCTCGGAGCATTCTGTCACAGTAAGACTCTAGCCCTGGTGCTCCTGGCTAAATCTAAGGCCAGGACTCCAGTTGTCTGCAGAACACCAAACATTTTCTTTCATTCGTGGGTTTTGTAGATGCCATCCATCATTCGAGCCATTCTGCTGTATTATCTTCTAAACCATCAGCAACCAGTGCGTCTCAGGGGGTTAAGGCTGAATCCAGAAGCAACCCCACCCGCTGGCCAACTCCCCAGAGTCCCCCCAAGGAGGCCATCCAGGCCCATCCAGGTATGCACCAGTCAGTGGGCAGTAGCTTCTTCTGCTGTTCCACAGCTGCCTGTTCCACTTTTTATTCAGATGTGGACTGTTGGGGGCCTGTACGCATCACATCCTAGACAGAAATCAAGAGGCCACCCACAACCACCAACGGTCTGATTTTTTTAGAACTATATTTTTATTAAAATACAAACTAGCTCATCCACAACAGGCTTTGATATGTATGCCAGTTTTGCTCATTGTTAGCCAACCATTTTCAAATAAGCACACCCCTATTTCTCATTTTATACTGGAGAACAAAGAGGCCAAATATTTCTTACGGGATTCTGACAGCCAAAGAATGGAAAGAGATTGGTATCTACTGGTCCCATATGTGTGTTACCCATGTAAACTGTACAGTGTTCCAGCTTACTGCATAGCTAAATGCTCTTCATGTTACATCACTATGTATAGGCTTATGAGTGAACCCTGATACATAATGGTCCATATCCCGGGGGGAAGTAGATGGGCACGTTTTACTTACATGTGTCAATATAACTGCCAGGGGTCGCATTGTTCACAGTTGCACCTGCCGTGGCAGGGAATGGGGCCATCTGTGTGTTCACTTCCTGCCTCTCAGCACAGCTGATGGGCTGACTTCAGGGCGATTGTGGTGAAGTCTGGCTGGGGTAGAAGTGCTCCCGGAAAGCACAGTGCTTCCTTCTGCTGCCCTCGTCTCTCCTAAGGGCCGTTCAAGCAGGGTGTTACGGAGGCGGAAGTGTCCTAGTTTGCCCAAGCCTGGGCTCAATGTTGCTAAGCCAAAGTGGGCAGCAGCTGGGCCAGTAGATAATGGGATGGCGGGGGCGCCACAGAGCTCTTCACCCAGAGCTGTGGATGGCTGCTTAAATGCTTTCAGTTCAAGTCCAGCAGAAGGTTAGGTTTTTAAACTCAGAATAGCTCCCCAAAAGATTCCTGGGCTGTTACTTGACAGTTTGGGGTTTTTGCAGTAATATTCCGGCATGATGTCAGCAAGGTGGGCGAGGGATGTATTTTAACATGTAATCATTGTCTTCCTCACTGGACGTCCTCCGCAGGTAGATCTTGAATTGTGCTCTCTCCGTTGTCTATTTGCCCTCTATCTGTTTATAGAGGAAACAGAATCAAACACTGTAACTTTCCAGGTCCCTAAAGATTTGTTTGTAGTGTGGCTGCATAAAGATCACCTTGGAAGGTTTTTTAAATGCGTATTTCCAAGACCTCTTGCCAGAGTTTTTAGTTCTGTTGGTCTGCCTTAAGACTAAAGAATCCACAAATATTAATGTAAGACTTAAAGTCTCACTTCCACTCCACGGAGCGTGAACAGCCAAAAAGGCCTCCACAATGCTGGGCCCTAACACCCAGCGAGGCTCTGGGAGCTCGACGGAGAAACGAGAAACCCAGAAAGGAACACACCAGGCTAGACGGTAAATAGACCTTTATTAGTCTGGCCAGACAGCACTCCTGGAGCCAGGTAGCTCAGAGAGGCAACTGTTCAGGGGCTGAGGTACTTTTTATAAGGTTTTTCTAAACAAAGAGTCAGGGAATTCACAGAACAAGACTGCAAACACATTGCTTATCTTATGTAGGAAATGTTCTATGGTCACCTTTTGTCATACCATTTGCCCCTGGGTGGGCTGTTAGCCAAGGTAGCAATTAGCATATGAAGAAGCACAGTCTGGCCCTATAGTCACTTTAGCTTATTCAAGTTTTACATTAAGAGTTTTTCCTAAGTGATTCAAATATCCATGCAGGTTTGTAAACCCCTGTGTCTCAGCCACCACATCAAGACCTCTATTTTTCATCTGCTAGACGAACATATTGATTTGGATGTCTAAAGTTTGTTTCCACAGAGTCCTAAATTGCTTGCACTGTATGAGTAATGCAAATTTCCCCACAGCCCCACACTCCTCCCCTCCTCAGGATGGACCCTGCTTTCAGAAGAGCAGTTCTAGCCATCAGGAGACACTTGTCCCCAGGACAAGGTCTGGTACTTACCGGGAGCAGCAGTCCCACCCCTTTGAAAGCAATCAGGCACAGCCATTGTGACATGGGAGTGATAATGCCATCTTGCTTTCTTTCAAGATGAGCTAAGAACATGTGTGAAGGAAATCCCTGGCTGGGGAGGAAGCAGAGGTGAGCCAGGCCTGGCTCTCTGCAGCAAGGATCACCTGCAGCCAGCTCAGCCTGCACCATGTTCAGTGCCAGCCACCCCTGCTGGCGATGTGGGTCATGGAATGGTTTCACCGTCTCAGTCTTTTACCCCTACTTTTCTCTCCCTTTCTCTCTAATGATGTGTCTCCTTTTTCCCTAATTTTCTGTTTCTAGGCTTTCATTTTAACTCCATACCCAAGCCGGTTAGCCTTCCCCAGGCACCATTGCCCTCAGCTCCGACCAGCTTCCTGCCTTTCAGCCCCCCTGGTCCTCCCCTCCTTGGCTGCCGTGAGACACCGGTGGTGTCCTTGGCTGAGGCTCAGCAGGAGCTGCAGATGCTGCAGAAGCAGTTGGGAGAAAGTGAGCACTCCTGCTGCCTTGTGTGCTGGCGAGCGGCAGCCCCAGACCGTGTTGCTCTGCATGGCTTTGGTGTGACGGCCGAGTTGAAAAATGTAGAGGAACGTGTTATGTCCCGAAGATGGATGAAAAGCTCTGCTTGCTTTTTTTTTTGGAAACGTATTCACTGCTGCCTTTCTGACGTGTGTGCCTCATCAGTTATGGGTTATATATGTGCTTAGAGCCTCTAGATGTGGTGCTCACCCATCCACTCTTGACAGAGTTGGGGGCCACAGCCTAGGAAACAGCCTGGGAAAATACTTCTCTCTGGGGGCGGAAGAGAATTCTGTGCATTGCATGTAAGATGACCTGGTCATAAAAGATGGCCACATTTATGGGCTCTTTGTGGAGCTGCTTTATCCGCTGCTGTGAAATACGTTCAGTCACATTTAATTCCTGATCATCAGCCTGGGTTAAAAACGTGGTGAGAGAGTCAGAAGTGGAAGCAACACAGCCCCTTTTCCTGTTGTCAGGGTTCATCCCCTCTCTGTGGACAGCTAGAACGACAAGCATAGAACTGTGGTTTTCATCCTTTTTATTCTCTGACCTCCAAGATAGATATTTTTTTTTTTTTATCAGTACTGGAGATTGAACCCAGAGCCTTTTCTCTGAGCTACATGCCCAACCCTTTGTATTCTCTAAGACAGGGACTTGCCAAGTTTTCCAAATGGAGCTCAAACTTTCAGTCTTCCTGCGGAACCTCCCAGAGTGCCCAGATAAACTTCGTACAATCGCAGACTGTATAAGTCATCTTTTAGGAAATGTCCTGATCTATTTATGGCTTAGATGCCTCATTGTAGAATTTTGCATGCATGCTATTGTTTTTGGCTTAGGCAAAAAAAGAAGGAAAAACTTCACATGATGAATTGCTCTCTAGTAGTGCTTTAAAGCAAATCTAGAAAACAGTGTGAAATTACCTGAAAGTCACATCCTAGGCCTGTTGTGAAGCTCGCTGACCCAGCTACTGCTCATGAGGGTTACTATGTCAAGGGTGTCCAGTGACCAAACATCACAGCCAATCTTGTATTCCTAAAGCCCCTAATAATATCTTGTGGATCGGCCTGTTTCTTTTGTCAACCCTGAAAATAGATACTGTGTTTAGTCTTCTCCCAGAATATGGATCATTTTTACTCCTAGACTTGCAACCTCCTGTGACTTTGGTTAAAAAGTGAGCAGACTTTCTACTGCTATTGATTTCTCCCTTTTCCTTGGGTTTGGGTGAAGCTGAAGGGAGTGTGAAAGAGATAGGAAATAGTATTGTTCTTGAACCCCTCTTAAAATTTTGGAGCTTAAACTTTTTAATTTCCCTCTTTAACTCCCAATTATCCTAATGAACATTTAGCAGTTTGTAAATTGGAGACAGAAAGAACCACGATGATACTTCTTAAACTTAGCCACCTATTTATTAGAATCTCCTGGGATGATTTCTAAAACATCAAGGGCTTGAGATGTATCCCATATCTATTAAAGTAAACTCTCTGGAGGTCCACATATCAGTGTGTGTGTGTGTGTGTGTGTGTGTGTGTGTGTGTGTGGTTACATCTTCTCAGGCGATTCTGCAGTAAAATGATGAACTCACTCCTATTTGCTTAGGAAGACCTGCCTGTCTATTCGGCTATCCTTGTTAATAATCCCTGGAAGAAAAGCAGACTGAATTTTCTAAAGCACAGCCCTGCCCCCCCCCCCCCCCCC